CTGTCAGTCATGGAAGTTCCAGGTGCCAAATGTGGTTCAATTCCATCATTGGTGGAGTTCAGAATGCTCTTTGGTTGTAGGTTACCTATAAATCCCAGCAACTACAACTCCCAAATGACAAAAATCAATCTCCCCCTCAAACCTACCAGTATTCAAATTTGGGCGTATCAGATATTTCTGCCATATTTGGGCCAGTGAATGAAAATACATCCTGCATATCAGACATTACGATCTACAACAGTAGGAAAATTACAGTTATGAAGTAGCAACGGAAATAATTTTATGATTGGGGGTGACCACAATATGAGGCACTGTATTAAGGGGTCGCGGCATTAGGAAGGTTGAGAACCACTGCTCTATCCCTTCTTTCTCTATGTCTTCCTTTTTATTTTTCTCCAGCCCTGCCCTTCATACACACACCACTTTCATAATCACTCAGTTGATGATAATTAACATGTCTTGAGCCGGATTTACCATTGTGCCGGAATTACCATTAACTGGATTTACCATTGTGCTTAGGTATGCTTCTTGCCAATTTTTTAAAAGATGGATTTTGCTGGTGCAATTTGAAGGCATTCTGTTTCGGAGAGATTCCAGACTTAATGGTTGTTGCACCGTAGTACTGGAACACCTTTTCACCCAGTGCCACACCAAAGTCTAGTGATCCAATATAAGAATGTTTATTAAAGGAAAAATATAAAAAAGGAAAAAGAGACAAATCCACAAAAATCAGTACAGATATAAATGCAATTCTTAAAAGAAGCTAGAGTTCAGTAGCAGCAAGCCAAAAATGCCAGGATAGAACACAAAGCCAAAGAATCCCCAAAAACACAGAATTAATCCAAAGGTATATCCATGAACATAAAAATGGGAACAAGGTAAATTCTCCAAATGAACATAGGCATAAAACAGGAACATGAAACAGGAATCTTGACAATACAGAAACCATGAACTTGGAATCATGAACAGGAGACTGATCTCCTATAGCAATGTTGTCTCCTCTGAAAGGCCTGAAACCAAACCACTTAATGTAAGCCCTCTAAGACACCCATGACATCATGCCTGACCCATCTGGACTTCAAGGTCTTATCTGGGATCCTTTGAGAATACCTAGTTTGCCAACTGTCATCCCATGCGTTCTCAGGTCTAATCTATTCTCCCTGAAAAACTCCCCATCTTCCCAAGGCCTTTTCTCAAAGGAACTGGAACTTTCACTGTCCCTCGTTGCCTGGGAACAAGCCGAAGAAGCCAAAACATCAGCCTTGACTGCCTGCAGTTCTCTCCGATCACTCACAGACTCCTCACTTTGAAACCCATCATCCCCTCATCCTCTGAACATTCAGAAAAATCCTCTGATGCTTGCCAGACTGCAACGATGATAGATTTGATTGTGTATGGGAGTGTGCCACAAAGCAGGCAAGCACCTTCCCTGTTCCCTATAAAGGCCAAACTCCACTGCTCCTCCTTCTCGGGCTCCTTTCTCATAAATGCACTTTTTATCCCTAATTAATCCAGGGTTTAAAGCTTTATTTATTATTTATTTATTTACTTTATTTATATACCGCTTTTCTCAGCCCTCAGGCGACTCAAAGCGGTGAACAACATCGATACAAAACATCACGAGACAAGTATAGGGCAATTAAAACAATTAAAAACAATTGTAATATAAATAATTAAACATCAGTATAATAATCATTAGCGCCTCAACAGTAACATTTTAACATTTTATCTCATACATCTGGTCTGCCCTTATAACCAAGTCTCCATTTTGAAAGGATTTTGGTGAATTAGTGATTCAATATCTGCAAGTTTATATTCTTTCAATTCAGCGATCAAGTCTATAATCTGCATCCTTCATTCACTGCTTTGTTATCATGCATGCTTATTTATTGCAATTAGTTGTACAAATTTAAAAAGAGAACAGAAAGCGTCCTGTTAGTAGATATAGCTGTTAGGTTTCCATTATGCATTACATACACCAGCTATATATTCAAAGGGAATATCATGCTGAGCAATCTGCTGCACAGCCTGAATCTGGAGCGACAGCCTTCTCAATGTCCCTTTTAGACATTTTAACTATGTGTCATGACCAAAATTGGTGAGTAATTGCGCATTCATGTGGTTCTGTATGCTCCCCAGATCTGTAGGTGTTCTTTGTTGTACAAATAGGTGCAATCCCAGAAATATCTGCTCAGAATACAGTACTGTGCTCAATTAGAACACAGATATATGGGCACAGGACTTGTTTATTGTATACCTGCAAGTCAGTTCCAACTTACAGCGACCCTAACACAAGGTTTTCGTTCAAAATTTGTTCATCTTCCTTTAAAGCTGAAAGAGTGTGATTTGCCCAAGAAGACCCAGAGGTTAAGATTTTAGATTAAGGGTGCTGTATGGAATTATTCAACTAGAATTTATCAACAATCATGAGTTTCAACCCCTCCTTGAAACAAGGCAGAATTCCGACTCTCCTAAAGGAGGAGCTCCATGCAGTCATGGAGCTTGGATGCATGACCTTGGAGCGTCCACGGACAACACCGACCCGGCTTAGAAGTGGAGATGAGCGCCACCCCCCAGAGTCGGACACAACTAGAATTAATGTCAAGGGGAAATCTTTACCCTTACCTTTTAAAGGAGGGAGTTGTGAGGCCCATACTACGTAAAAGCAGCATTCCTTAAGTCCTCCATGATAAAGAACTATTAGCCAGTGTCTAAACTTCTGTCTTTGAAAAAGGCATTGGAGTGTGTGGTGGCTTCCTAACTCCAAGGGTTTCTGGAAGGAATGGACGATCTAGATCCATTTCAGGCCTGGTTATGGAACTGCTTTGGTCACCTTGACTGATGACCTACGAAGATAACTGGACAAAGGGAAAATGTCCCTGTTGGTTCTACGGGACATCTCAGTAGCTTTCAATATCATCAACCATGCATCCTTCTGTGCCACCTTGCTGAGATGGGACTTGGAGGCACTGTTTTACAGTAACTCCATTCCTTCCTGGAGGAGTGAACCCAGAAGGTGGTGCTGGGAGATTCCTGTTCAAGCCCCTGTGGGGTTCCCCGGGGCTCTGTTTTGTCCCCCAGGCCATTTAACATATGCATGAAACTGCTGGGAGAGTGTTTTGGTGTGCAGTGCCATCTTTATGCATATGACACCCAGCTCTACAACCCCTTTCCACCCAAGGCCAAGGAAACTGTCCTGGTACTAAACCATTGTCTGAAACGAGTAATGAACTTAATTGAAACAAATTGAAACTTAATCTGGATAAAACAGATGTGGTCTTAGTTAGCTGGAAAGCAAATCAGGGAATAGGGACTTAGCCTGTGCAGGACAGAGGTCCAGTTTGAAGGTACTCCTGAGCTCGGCATTGAATCTGGAGGTCCATGTTTTGGTTGTGGCCACGAGTGCCTTTGCAGATATAAACCTTGTCCTGCAACTGTGCTTATTCCTTGAGATGCCAGATCGAGTCATGGTGGTACACGTCTTAGGGCCCTTCCACACAGCCCTATATCCCAGAATATCAAGGCAGAACATTCCACATTATCTGAGTGTCGGCTCAGATAACCCAGTTCAAAGCAGATCTTGTGGGATTTTCTGCCTTGATATTCTTGGATATAGTGCTGTGTGGAAGGGCCCCTAGTTACATCCTGTTTGAATTACTGTAATGTGCTCTATGTGAGGCTTTGAAGAGTGTTTGGAATTTTTGTCTGATCCAAATAAGCTGTGGCCAAATTGTGAACTGCAGCTGGCTACAGGGAGCAGTTGCAGCAGCTCCACTGACTGCCAGTTTGTTTCTGGGCACAATTCAGAATGCTGTTTATGACCTATAAAGTCCTATATGGCTCAGGCCCAGGCTATTTGGCAGATCTTATCTTCCTGTACAAAACTATCCAGGCTCTGAGATCATCAGGAGAGGCCTTTCTCTCAGTCCCACCACTATCGCAGCCACAATTGGTGAGAACACACGAAAGGGCCTTCTCAGTGGTTGTCCCTCAACTCTGGAACTCTCTGCCTAGAGGCTTGAATACATTCCTGCTTTCCTTCTGGTGGCAAGGGAAAACCTTTCTATTCAGGAAGGCCTTTAAAGAATAATGTTTTTTTAAGAATGACCCAAGGGGTGCTGGGTAGTGTTTTAATATGTTTATAGTTTTTGATTGTTGAGTTTCACCATTTTTTAATGATTCCATGTTTAATTTTATTTTAACGTTTATGTGTTGAGTTGATGTGAGTTTTCTGGGCTATATGGCCATGTTCCAGAAGCATTCTCTCTTGACGTTTTGCCCACATCTGTGGTAGGCATCCTCAGGGGTTGTGAGGTCTGTTGGAAACTAGGCAAGTGGCGTTTATATATCTGTGGAATATCCAGGGTGGGAGAAAACTCTTGTCTGTTTATATGTTGGGTTGTTGTAGGTTTTTCAGGCTGTATGGCCATGTTCTAGAAGCATTCTCTCCTGACGTTTCACCTGCATCTATGGCAGGCATCCCCAGAGGTTGTGAGGTCTATCATAGATGCAGGCAAAACATCAGGAGTAAAAAAATGCTTCTAGAACATGGCCATATAGCCCGAAAAACCTACAACCCAGTGATTTCGGCCATGAAAGCCTTCGACAATACATTGTTTATATGTTGGCTTGAAATTGTAATTTGTCCCATTTTTAGTGTTGTGAGACTCTGAATTTCATTAAGAGAAGAAAGCCAGATATTATTATTATTATTAATAATAATAATAATAATAATAATAATAATGCCCCCTAGATACCTGAAACCATTGATAATAAGAAACCCTATATTTTGTCTAAACTTGGGCTGGAACCATACCATAGTATCTTACTGGAAGACCCAGAGAGACCTGCAAATACTTTCAGTGGAGGGAAGGAAGTGTTAGTAAGTAAAATGGTGGATACCGAGTTCATGATTAAGGAGGTTGTATTGCAAACTAGTCACATCTGGATACAAGACACACAGTTATCACGTACCACAAATAGGCATGGATTGCGTTGAATCTTTTTGAAAGGTTTTTATTTACAGTGCTAAACAATATATATATTTATATTTCTCATCCTCATAATGTCTGTGGCATAGAAAATACTGTTGATGGGTCTGCTTTAATTTACAAAGAAAACAACAACAACAACTGAAGAACCCGAAGGGAACAAGGGAGAAATCAGAATTTGGTCCCTAATTTTTAAAAAAGCAAACACTCAAAATGAAGAAACACACTGAATCATGTATTACTTTACACATTAAAAACAAGCTTTGCTTTCTGGAAGAAAAAAAGTTCACCAGATCCAGCTTGCTGCCTGTCATGTAAATTTGTACAAAATGTATTAGTCAAAAACTCTCTCAATATGTTTTTATCTAAATTGTATTGTCCTCGTTTTTTTTGTTTTGTTTAGTTTTTAGCCTTTTCCCCAGCAATGGAAAGGGAGCCAGCCACAGGATGGGGAACACATCCCTACAAGATTCCCTGCCCTTCATCGCCTGTAAAATCCAGACTTGATTTAACTCCTTTCAGCACCATAAAACTTCCACATAATTGTGGAATTCTGTAAGGAGCCAAAGAAGGAAAGGGAGACGTTTGCCCAGGGCAGGGAGCATTTTGCAGCAGAGGTGTTCGGAAGCAGAGGTGTGTGAGGATTTCCATTAGGCAGCAACTGTGAAAAGGTGCCTGGGAAGAGGAAGCCACCTTCGAGGGCCTAGGGCTACAGGGAGAGGAATGCAGAAAGGGTCAGCAGCTTGGAAGTTGTGAGACAAGGGGAAGGGGAGAAAGGGAGCACTGTAACATGGAAGAGATTGTGGAGCTAGGGAAGAGCACTCTTCAGCTTTGTCTATCCTTGCCAGAAAGCACACCGAGCCCCTTCTGTTCCTCATCTGCAGCTATAACACGTAGGTGGGTGCCTGCACAGGTGGAGGAATGAAGGTGAGTGGACAGATGGGCAACGGAGAAGAGGATGTGTGTGCAGATGGGACGGTATCAAGCTGAGGCGCCATTTTCTGTTTTCTTTCTCTTTGGGTCCACTTCATCCTGAATAGGGTAAAGGCGGACGCACTTGGTTAGCTACTCCTCAGCACAAGCAAAGGTGAACATATGCTGTTTGTTAAAGAAAATTACAGATGTAAAGAACCCAATTTATTTCCTGAAACAAACAGATGGGCAGGAATCACATATATTTGTAAATCCGCACATTCCTTTTAAAAGTGCAGGTATTCCAAAATACAAAACAGTAAATTTATACCATCAACCAGCTTTTTCCACCCTGCAGATGGAATACGATGCAATAAGACTATTGAGAAAGGAGGAAAAACAGGTCTTGCTTTATTTTTATAAACTAAGGATGTTCGTAAAGATTTCATGGAAAGAATTTAGAATTAAATTCCAATGATTTTAGAGCTAAGGCCCTTTCTACACTGCCATATAATCCAGTTCAAAGCAGATAATCTGGATTTTATAGGGCAGTATAGAAGGGGCCTTAGTTTCTTAGAGTTCAACCAGAAAATTCAGCAAAGGCATGTCCAAATCACATTTTCTTTCACACTCCCACAAACACACACTAGTCTATAGGGCATGAACACTTTGTTTCTATGTGCACTGTGCTTTCCTGCTCGGAAAATGTAATATATCTTATTTATTTATTTATTTATTTACAGTACAGTACTTATATTCTGCCCTTATCACCCCGAAGGAGAGTCAGGGCGGATCACAGAACACATATATGGCAAACAATCAATGCCAATTAGCAATGACAAGACAGATGACAGATATAGGCTTTTTCTCATCATTCAGCATCTTTGGAGGCTGTGCTCTGTTCCGGCCACAGGGGGTGCTGTTGCTCCATCTCCTTGCCAAAGAGCTTTCTTTGGCCATAAACTTCCCCTCCAAACGCTGTGCCAAAAATACCTCCCCACTTAATGCGGTTCCTATTCATCTACTCATATTGCTGTTTTTGATCAGCTAGGTTGGCAGGGAGCTGGGCAGAAAGTCAGGAGCACACTCTGACCCGGCTTCAAACTATCAACCTTTCAGTTGGCAAGATTTACCAGTTGGCAAAATTTACTATAGCTGCAGCTGGTGATTAACCTGCTGTGCTAAAGCCAGCACTAATGCATGTTTTGTATTATTTTTAGTAAAGGCATTTGAATCCTTACAACAGGTCTTTTACCAGGTTTTTTAAGCGACTCCAAGCAACCAGCCTATCAGTAGTCACTACTTGGACTGCAACTCCCATCATTAGTAGGCAGCAATAAAAAGGTGTGAATAAATCTCTTTACAATTCATTTGGTCTTGTGCTTCAATTGAAACTGGCCATACTGCTTCTGGCCATACTAAAAATATAGGCAACAGAACTCAGTAATGTTTGCTAAGCATCCAGAGTAAGGCATGGTGAAGTTTGGATGGCCAAGCAGAAGGAAATAAAGCATTATTTATTCCCTGAAAAAAAAAAGAAACTGACCATACTAAAAATATAGCCCCACATTGAAGGACTCTGTACCCAGTCAAAGCCAAAAGCTGGACAAAACAATGATCTCCACCCCTTTGCTAGACATCATTTCACACAAGGAATCTCAGTTTCAGTTAAGAATCCTGCCATGAATCTCAGAAACTATTCACAAATATTGAGCATAAGTCCATAAAGCTTTAATCTATCCAACTTACAAGTAAAGGAGTAAAGAGCTCTTTGAATATTGAACTCTGAAAGGCTTTCCTGTATTGAAGGTTTTTGATCAGAGTTGGTGGCTCTTAAAGGGTAAGACTGCATGACCCTTAGGAATCCTTCCAACTTTATAATAAATCCATAGTTCCATAATTCGAATACTAATACTACAAAATAGGTATCACTATGGTAACTCATCATACCCAGTTTGCTTATGAAAAGACAAAGGGACCTGTTGTGGTGACTACACAGTCCCCGGCAGAACAGAACCCAACCCCCTGTATGCTATTCTTAACACTGTTTTGACTCACCTCTTCCTGCTTTTTCTCTGCAGATCGTTTTATGGCATGTGAGTCTGGTTCTTGTTCATTCTCTTCATCTTGGATTTAAAATATGACAGGAGTGTGGGAGTCAGGGAAAGAGAGAGGAATGTTAAATCATAGTCATGAAGTTCAGTGATGCATTTGCTGAACAGCTGTGTGTACAGCTCGCAAGCTGCACAGGCCACTCATTCTCACCTTCTTCATCCTCATCTTCATCATCCTCTGGATTTGCATCTTCATCGTCCTCCTCTTCCTCAGCTCCATTTTCATCATCCTGCATAAGGTAAACCCAGAGGGAAATAGCATCTGCCAACCAGCATCTCAACCAATTACGCTAATAAGCAGCAGATCACAATTCCCCATAGTCTCTCCTTTGTGTTGCTTTATGAAATCCATACTATTTTCTATCCATTTTGAACCCATACCCCCACCCAGGACTGTCAGTTTTGTAGAAACATGCTAGGTGCATCGTCTGATCAGCCCTGCAAAACACCACCTTAGTATAAAACACAGAAGCCTTCCTGAGAAGACTCTTCTGACCAATACTATGCTTGCTTTGTATGGAAGGAGATACAGGCAAGTATGGGTAAGAAAGGAGCATTGGGTTAAACTGCTGAACTTGCTAACTGAAAGGTTAGTGGTTCGAATCCAGGGAGTGGGGTGAGCTTCTGCTGTTAACCCAGCTTCTGCCAACCTAGCAGTTCGAAAACATGCAAATGTGAATAGATCAATAGTATTATATTATATGTAATACCATATAATATCACTAATAATAACATGATATTATAATTATATGTTTTATATTACATGTAATATTACTAATAATATTACAATATAACGGTATAGTACAATATAGTAATATATAATGCTGATATTATACTATGCTTATAATATATTGTATGTATATATATGTATATATCTTGTAAGCCACTCTGAGTCCCCTCCAGGATGAGAAGGGCGGCATATAAAAGCCATACATAAATAAATAAATAAATAAACGCTTCTGCAGGAAGCTAACGGTGCTCCATACAGTCATGCTGGCCACATGATCTAGGAAGTGTCTACGGACAACACTGGCTCTTCGGCTTAGAAATGGAAATGGGCACCACCCCCCAGAATTGGACACACAAAAGGGAAACCTTTACCTTTATGGGTAAGAGGGTGATCAAGAGCTGCCCTATCTGAGCAAAAGGTCCTAGTATGTTTGTGCAGATCACCAACTGATTTTGGTTGTCTGTTAGGCTTTAGGGAAAATCAGGGATGGCACTTTGAGCAAGAGATTTTAACCCCTTTCCCAAATTTTAATATCTAAAGGATGTAGGAATAGGCCCTGCTACCTGGAAGCACAAACAGCTACAGAGAGTACTGATTGGCTGGATTCCTGTGACATCATAATTGCCCTTTTCCCACCTAGCAGCTTAAATATATCAGACATCAAAGTCATTTCCCTTATGACAATATAGTTTGAGTATCCCTAGTCCAAAATGCTTGGTACCAAAAGTGCTTTCAGATTATTATTATTTTAAGATTTTGGGATACTTTTTACACATAAAAAATACTGAGATATCTTGGAGATGGGACCCAAGTCTAAACACCAATTTCATTTATGTTTCATATACACATAGCCTGATGGTAGTTTTATACACAAGATTTTTAATAACGGTTTGCATGAGACAAAGTTTGTGTACACTGAACTGTCAAAAAAGCAAAAATGTCACTTATTGCAACCACCCATCTGGACAATTTTGGATTTCAGAATTTTGAATGCTCAACCTTACAATAAATTATTTAAATAAACAAAACAGTGCCCATAATGTGGTTGGAAGAGTGAGGGCAGCGCAAAGTGATGGAAACCTAAAACTATGGAGAGGGTGGATAGGCTCCTGTGTAAATGGCGTTAAACACATCATCCATACCATGCACCTTTAGGTTTCATTCCCACCCTGCCTTCCTATTCCTGTCCTCCTCCTCCTTCAAATACATGTTAAATTACCTCTACTATCTCCTTCTTCTCTTTACGGGCAGACTTTTCCTCATGTTTCTCCTTCTTTTCTTTCAGATCCTGAATAGTGGGATGAAAAACAGATTAATATACCATTGTGGGGTCTGAAAGAGGAATGAATGAAATACAAAGACAACATAACAAAACAGGTAAAGAAGAGGTGACTCATAGACTTCAATTCAGGGAACAGATAGTGAGATGTAGAAACAACATGGTTAAAATGACATAAAAGGGAGCACTGCTTTTACTGTAGGCTTTGTAATAGTTGTTTCTTTTTGAAACACGCACACAAAATATCACAGATGAAGAGTCTTGTCTTTTTGACATTTTGTGACAATTACAGGAATCCAGACAAAGGCATCAAAGCCTCAGTGGTGTGAAAAACTAACTAAAGACATGCTGCCATGCAGTAGCTGCGGCATGATTTCCTTTTAGCCCGAGACGGAAGCTGAGATCCCACATCATGCTGGCAGAACATAAGGCTCCACCTGTCTACTTCCAGAAGGCAGGCTGTGGAGGCTGCTTTGTCTACTGGGTGCAGCTCAATCCCTGCAGCCACTGACTGGCTGTGGCAGTCTGCCTGGGCTTGAGAGGCAGCAGTCGCCTCAATCTAAACCAAGCATGGGCAAACTTCGGCCTTCCAGGTGTTTTGGACTTCAACTCCCACAATTCCTGATAGCCTACTGGCTGCCCATTCCTGATATAAACACACCCCTGCCTCCTATGATTGGGGAGACAGAGCTACTCCTGGAAGCCTCTTTGTTGGCAGTCAGTACGATGGGCAATACCAGCCACCTTCTTCTGCGAGGACCAGGAAAGCACCTGTATGCAGGCCTAACCCTGTTATCTCCCATTGTGTTGCTTGAGATCCAACCTGTCCTGCACCACAATCCACCTGTCCACCTGTGGACCAACTGAGGGAAGTTGCAGACTAGATCCAAGTTTCCGCTTGGCACATATTGACAGTCCAGACAACCCTCAATTAGGTGATATGAGAGAAACACATGTGTAAATAAGATGGCCCTTATGTACACTGCGCTGAGCAAAGTGCAGTGCTCTGACCAAATGCTGACCACCAGGACCATTTTTGTGGCCTCACAAAAATACAAATTAAAAAAAAAAAACTTTCCCCACCCCATGCTTTTTGCTCCCCATTTCCACCCAAGTCCCCTGAAGGTATAGAGGGCATTTTCTCAATGTTTGCAGACTAGCTATGCTCCCTAGGAGTCATTTTTTTTTTTGCAATGTTCCCTCCCCTAATGCTCTCAAGAAAGTGGGTGTCATTTCCCACCATGTTTTGGACTCACTCTAGGCCAATCTAAGCTGAGGACAGTCCCTTTTTGAAACAAGAAGTGACAAAGGGAAAACCTAAAATGAGCCAGGAAGCCATCCTCTACAGGGCATTTGGAAGCAACACAATTGTTATAATTTTGCAGGAACAGCTGCCGTGGTAGAATGTGGCCCTCCACGGCCTCCTGGTGGGGCTATTGTGGCCCCTTGCCCTCTCCCTGTTGTGTACTTATGAAAATGACAGGGGAGCTCATTTTATAAAGACTATTTAATTATTTTGTAGGAAACCCCAGTGGTGCAATGGGTTAAACCCTTGTGCTGGCAAGACTGCTGACTGAAAGGTCAGTGATTTGAATCTGGTGAGCAGGGTGAGCTCCCGTCTGTCAGCTAAAGCTTCTCAATTAGGGACATGAGAGAAGCCTTGCACAGGATGGTTAACATGCGGGCATCCCCAGGGCAACATCATTGCTGATGGCCAATCCTCACACCAGAAGCAACTTGCTGTTTCTCAAGTCGCTCCTGACACACACAAAAATATTACTCTGTAAAGACTCAATACCTCATCATTTTCCACTAGAGGGCATTGTGCATTTTTTCTGCTTTAAGCAGCTCTGAAAGCCAGCTTGCCAGGAGGGAGATTGAAACACTGGCCTAGATATCCAGCCTCATTTCACTTGGACCGTTTTCGGTGTCCCACTTGTGTTTGAATTCCCACTGGTGGTTATTCTCTGCACTGAACCTTATTCTACTCAGAGAGGAGGGTCTTCAAGGAGCAGAAACATTCATTCCTTCAGTCAGATTGCCTTCCCCAGGCTTTCCAAAGCAATGAATCATAACTGAAGTGGTTCTGGATCTTTTCAAGTCAGCCTTCAAGATCCCTTCCCCTCTTCCGGGAACTTGAGAGGAATGTGGTAGAGTGGTTCACTATGATCCTAACCCTAAAACAGCTCCCTGATCCTAGAGCAGCTCCCTCCCTCCTGGCCTTCAGAAGGAACGTTTTGAGTTTTATCCATGTCAGGAGCAACTTGAGAAACTGCAAGTTGCTTCTGATGTGAGAGAATGGGCTGTCTGGAAGGACGCTGCCCAGGAGACACCCGGATGTTTAGTTTTTACCATCCTGTGCGAGGCTTCTCTCATGTCCTGGCATGGCGAGCTGGAGATGACAGAAGGAGCTCACCTGCTCTCCCTGAATTTAAACCACTGCCCTGTCAATCAGGAGTCCTGCCGGCACAAGAGTTTAACCCATTGCACCACCGAGGTTCAAAGAAAGTGGAAACCTGGCTCTGGAATCAAGCCTTTGGAGATTTATCTAAAGTGCAATAATAGCCTTGAAATATGTGTAATTGATCTTTGAATGGCCTTGGTTTTTAATTGACGATGGTGTGATTTTAATAGTGAATGCAATGTTTTATATGTTTTGATGTGCATGTAATTTTAATTTTTTAACTTAAGTGTATTCTAACTGTTTGTTGTCCAAAGGCATTGAATAGTTGCCATATGTAAAGCCCCAATGAGTCCCCTTTGGGGTAGAGAAAGGCAGGATATAAATAGAGTAAATAAATATAAAAACTGCCCAGGATTAGTGTGGAATGCAAAACCTAAAGCAAACTCACTCATCTAAGGATGTAAGGCAGTGGTTCTCAACCTGCGGGTCCCCAGATGTTTTGGCCTTTGACTCCCAGAAATCCTAACAGCTGGTAAACTGGGTGGGATTTCTGGGAGTTAATATGCCAAAACATCTGGGGAAACACAGGTTGAGAACCACTGATGTAACGGAAGATTTTTTTTTGTCTTGTCAGGACCAACTTGAGAAACTGCAAGTTGTTTCTGGTGTGAGACAACTGGTAGTCTGCAAGGACATTGCCCAGAGGATGCCAGGATGTTTTGATGTTTTATCATCCTTGTGGGAGTCTTCTCTCATGTCCCCGCATGAGGAGCTGGAGCTGATAGAGGGAGCTCATCCGTGCTCTCCTGGGATTCAAACCTCTGACCTGTCAGTCTTCAGTCCTGCCGGCACAGGGGTTTAACCCACTCCGCCACTGGGAGCTCCTGGAAGGGCCCTACTTTTGGGTAAGGGTTTCTTTAGGGACTTCCCCTAAAACAATGGTTCCCAACCTGTGAGTCCCCAGGTGTTTTGGGCTATAACTCCCAGAAATCCCAGCCAGTTTACCAGCTGTTAGGATTTCCGGGAGCTGTAGGCCAAAACATCCGAGGACCTACAGCAGTGCCTATGGGTCCCAAGATGTTTTGGCCTTCAACTCCCAAAAATCTTAAGAGCTGGTAAGCTGGCTGGGATTTCTAGGAGTTGTAGGCCAAAACACTGACCTACAGGTTGAGAACCACTGCCCTAAAAGCAAGCAGGTCTTGTCTCTGAGGACTGCACGCAGGATCTGTTTTGTGTGTGTGTGTGTGCACGCGGATGGGCTGGGAGTGCGTTCCGCAAGCGCGCTGTCTTTGTTTGGGTTGGTCGCTCAAACCCAGTGAAGTCAGCGCAAGGCCAAGTGTCCTGCAGCACCTGACCTTTATCCCTGTGTCCCTGGCTGCCCTGGGGAGGGTTTCAGTAATGATTTCCCTTGTTGCTCTGCAGAGAGGCGAACATTGTGCAAGAACAGAGCCCTGAAAATGGGAGGGGGAGAGAGAGAGAGAAAAGAGCTGCCTCCTCCAGCCCTGAAGGGGAGGGTCTTCAGTACTAGAGTGACCTTGCCTTTAGAGGAGGCCTGGGCCAATTTAGGCCCTCGAGGTGCTTTGGACTTCAACTCCCACCGTTCCTAACAGCCTCAGGCCCTTCCTTTCCCCTCAGCCGCTAAGCGGCTGAGGGAGAAAAGGAAGCGGCCTGAGGCTGTTAGAAACGGTGGGAGTTGAAGTCCAAAGCACCTGGAGGGCCTAAGTTGGCCCAGGCCTGCTTTAGAGGCTTCCAGGGGCGGGTGGGTCTGAGTTTCAGGTCGAAAGGGCTCGACGGAGGAGGAAGAGGCGGGTGCGCCCTTTGTGTGAGGAATGGAGACCCGCAGGTGCCTCGCTCTCACTCCCCAACTCCCCGCCCCCGCCCTCGCGGGCCTTCGGAAGCAAACGCCGCGCGCCACTCGGGCCCCAGGGCCACTAAGGCAAAGGGGAGACGGAGGGGAGATAAAGAGGGGTGCGCGCGCAGCCACCCCTCGCGCTCTCTCTATGCCCGCGCGCGCCCACTCTCTTCTTCATTCCCCCCTCCCCTCTTCTCTTCATTCCCTATTCTTCTTCTTCTTCGTCGCCGCTTTCTTCGGACCGGGAGCGACCACCCCCTTGTGTCCTTTTTTTGTCCGGCGTCTCACCTTGGCTGCCCCGAGCTCCACCGGAGCCTCTTCGGCGGGCTTCTCCGACATCCTTAGGCGGCAGAGAGGAAAGGGAGGGAGGCGAACGAGGCAGCGGCGGAGAGGATGAGAGAGAGAGCGCGAGAGAGAGAGTAAAAGGGAGGGAGGGAGGAAGGGGCGCGCGCTCGCTCGTTCGCTCGCGGGAAAGGGAGGGGGCGGCACCAGGCAGGCAGGCAAGCAAGCGCGCGCTCCCTTCTCGCGCACCAAGTGGGGGGCGCGCGCGCTCCGCAGCCGAGTTCTTCCTCCGCTTTTTCTCCCGAGGGAGGGGGAAAAAAGAAAAAAAAAGAAAAAAAGGATTTATGGAGGAGGGTGGGGCCTGAGCCGAAGGAGGAAATTAAGGGAGGAGGAGGAGGAGGAGAGGAGAGGAGAGGCAAGGGCCACCAACTGCGCGCCTTTTAGGAGCCGCGATCAACGAGGCGGGGGGAAAGGAGGGAACCCTGTATCCGCGCTCTCGGCCCCTCTTTGCGCTTTGTCCCCTTTGTCCGCCCGCTCCTTTGTCCTTTTTCCCTCCTCCTCCCACCCCGCTTCTGTCCCTTGATCCAGATTAACTCCTAGCACTTGGACAGCGTGTTTTTACGCTCTCCTCTCCCTTCACTTGCCGGAAAGCAGGCGTGGGGCGGGTTCGCGTGTGTCCCAACTGGACGCCAACTGGCCGCCCAAGCCACAAGGCGGTGTGGTGTATGAGTTATGTTAGCCGCCGCTTTGAGGGCCCTTCCACGCAGCCATATAATTTTCTACATAAATAAAAATGTAATGTTCCTTTGTGGGATTAACAGAACTCAAAAACTACTGAGGGAAGCGACACCAAATTTGGACACAAGACACCCACTAACCCAAGGAATGACCATCACTCAAAAAAATTGATGTTGTCATTTGGGAGTTGTAGTTGCTGGGATTTATAGTTCACATACAATCAAAGAGCATTCTGAACTCCACCAACGAAGGAACTGAACCTGTCTTGGCATACAGAACTCCCATGACCAACAGAAAACACTAGAAGGGTTTGGTGGGCATTGACCTTGAGTTTGGGAGTTGTAGTTCACCCACATCCATAGATCACTGTGGACTCAAACAATGATGGATCTGGACCAAACTCTACACGAAGACTCAATACGCCCAAATGTGGACACTGGTGGAGTTTGGGGAAAATAGAACCTTGACATTTGGGAGTTGTAGTTGCTGGGATGTATAGTTCCCCTACAATCAGAGAGCATTCCGAACCCCACCAACGATAGAATTGGGCCAAACCTCCCACCAGAGGCAGCCCTAGGTAATTTTCAAAGGTAAGCAAACAGTATTTTGGTGCCCCCCCCCCAACCAATCACTGATATATATTTTCTGTTCGTCATGGGAGTTCTGTGTGCCATATTTGGTTCAATTCCATCATTGGTGTTCAGAATGCTCTTTGATTGTAGGTGAACTATATATCTCAGTAACTACAACTCGCATATGTCAAGGTCTATTTTCCCCCAAGAGCGTCTCAAGAGCGCCCCTGGGCACAATCAACTATACTGCAAATGCTTACTTTGCGTAATGGGTTGAGCCGCCCCTGCCTCCCACACAGAACCCCCATGTGGGCCACAGCAATGCGTGGCAGGGGATGGCTAGTCTAGAATATCAAGGCAGAGCAACTCACAATATCTGCTTTGAACTGGGTTATCTGAGTCCAATATAGGAGCTCCCGGTGAGCTCTCATCTGTCAGCTTCAGCTTCTCATGCAGGGCCACGAGAGAAGCCTCATAGAATCACAGAGTTGGAAGAGACCTCATGGACCATCCAGTCCAATCCCCTGCCAAGAAGCAGGAAAATTGCATTCAGAGCATCCCACAGGATGGTAACACAGCTTGAGGACCCTTCCACACAGCCCTATATCCCAGAATATCAAGGCAGAAAATCCCACAATATCTGCTTTGAACGGGTTATCTGAGTCCACACTCACATAATGTGGGATTTCCTGCCTTGATATTCTGGGATATAGGGCTGTGTGGAAGGGCCCCAAGTCTCCTTCAAGAGAGAACAAGCCGGATATAAATACACATCATGAGGAGGAGGAGGAGGATAATGCAAAGCTTGAGGGAAATGCTCCCAGGAGGGACCCAGGCACCAATGAGTGCTGGAAATAACATGGAAACAGGCCAACGTGAGGACAGCCTAGGCCATCCTTTGGTGCTCCCTTGCTTTCAGAACATGCCTCCATTGGCTTGAATCTTTGAACTGAAAGAAACATGGTTTGAATCTTTGAACTGAAAGCAACAAAGCATCTTCTGGTTCTTGAAAACTGAAGGGAGCTTCCCTGGGGTCTAAAGTGGAACAGGTTGTACTGCAATGCTTTAATGCAATCTGCTTTGAGTCTCCTTGTGGAGAGAAAAGGGCTGGGTATAAACAGAAACATAACAATAATGATGATGTGTTATCAAAGGCTTTCATGGCCGGAATCACTGGGTTCCTGTGAGTTTTCCGGGCTGTATCACCATGTTCCAGAAGCATTCCCTCCTGATGTTTCGCCCACATCTATGACAAACATTCTCAGAAGTTGTGAAGTCTTTTGGAAACTAGGCAAGTGAGGTTTATATATCTGTGGAATAATGTCCAGGGTGGGAGAAAGAACTCTTGTCTGCCTGAGGCAAGTTGTGAATGTTGCAATTGGCCACCTTGATTAGCATTGAATAGCCTTGCAGCTTCAAAGCCTGGCTGGTTGCTGCCTGGGGATTCCTCTGGTTTTTTTAGTATTGCTCTTTATTTACTGTCCTGATTTTACAGTTTTTTTAAATACTGGTAGCCAGATTTTGTTCATTTTCATGGTTTCCTCCTTTTTGTTGAAATTGTCCACGCTTGTGGATTTCAGTGGACTTTCCACAGATATGTAAACCTCACTTCCCTATTTTCTAACAGCACTCACAACCTCTGAGGATGCCTGCCATAGATGTGGAGTCCCTGATCCCTGGAGTCTAAGGTGAAACTGGTATTTTAAATTGTATTGAAATGCTTTTAATTATTTAATGCAATCCGCTTTGAGTTTCCTTGGGGCAGAAAAGGCTTGGTATAAAGAAACAGAAATATGATGGTGATGATGATAATGATGTGTCCTTCATGCGAATGACCCAAAGAGCCATAGGACAGGCATCACAAGTACTCTGAAGCTTGTCCGGTGAAGCTTGTTGCTTCCTTCACAGAGTAGACAATATTACAGAGGGCTCTGATACTACCTACCATAATAGGAGACATTATTATTATTATTATCTCACTTTTTCTCTCTATAAGTAAAGGTAAAGGTCTCCCCTAGTTGTCGACAGCGGCACCCTGTCATTAAGTTTAGTTGTGTCTGACCCTGGGTGGGGGTGTGTGTGCTCATCTCAATTTCTAAGCCAAAGAGCCGGCATTGTTCATAGGCACCTCCAAGGTTGTTTGGCCAGCATGATTGCATGGAGCACTGTTACTTTCCCACAGAAGCAATACCTATTGATCTGCTCACATTTGCATGTTTTCAAACTGCTAGACTGGCAGAAGCTGGGCCTAACAGCAGGTGCTCACTCCGCTCCCCAGATTGGAACTGCCAACCATTCAACTGAGTCTGTCAACCATACAGAGACTCAAAGCAGCTCACAATGAAAAGGATATGCCTATATGCTTCCCTCCTCATAGGAAAATAAATAAGCCATTAAGAAGAAGGAGGGAGATGGCTTATCTTCATAATACCCTTTGCTTGGCAGCACAAGGAACTCTTCAACTGAAAAAGCATTTGTGGTCAAACCAAGGACATTATTTCCACACAGCCAGAAAAAAACAACCACTCTTTCAAACAAATGAATTTAAAGTAAAAAGTTAAATCATATGTGGACATAATTCATTTCAAGGTGAACTGATCAGCTATACAGGAAAACCCCCCAAATATTTACATTGCTGCCTGCATCTTCATAGAGGGACTGTCAGGTTCCTTTCAGCATTGTTCATGTTTCTATTAGAGAGACGCTTTATTCTCGTAGATCACACAAGAGCTTTGCTGTTTCCAAAACATTTATTGTGCAGACTAAAAGGTTACTCTAAGGCCCAACATGCAGGCAGTCCCCATGTCTCACACAAGATAGGTTCTGTAGGTTTGTTCTTAAGTTGACTTTGTATGTAAGTCGAAACATGTATATTCTTAAGTGTAATTCCAGCATCTATCTATCTATCTCCTCAAAAAGGAAACTCCTCAAGAGGGGGAATAGTGTCTCCTCCATTGAAGCTTTATCATCAAGCCTTGTTTTTACAACAAGCCATTTTTTCAACATCCATTTATTACAAAGACAGAAAGTGAAGGGAAATCTTCTGAACGGGAACAGACAGCAAGACAAATACCACAGTGGTGTTAACCTTTCCCTATGCTACCCAATCATACACACACACACACACACACACACACACACACACATATATTTCTCCTACTTCCTGTTATCTCACCCCCATTTGTAATTATAAGTAATTTGTAAGTCAGATGTTTGTAACTTGGGGACTGCCTGTATATAGGTCTCTTACACTAATTGTACCCGGGATCATGAAACACACAGATCTTCTGATCCCCAGTCCTTTGCTTCCTTTCCCACAAGATCATGAGCAATTGACCTTTACTGCATGCTAATAAGACCTTTCAGTTCCTGCCAATTTGGTCACTACATAGCCCAGTGACCATTTGTCAATGCCCATTGGTTTATGACATGCATACTACTCATGAGATGTCATAACCAAATAACTTATGGTTATGAGAGGAAGATTAGCTAGGAATCTCAAAGACTGAAGACAATGTAAATTGAGAAACATCACTATGAGTTGGATGCTTTTTTTAAAAGGCAAGAACGAATATTTGCCCCAGACTGATGGATGTTTGGCTTCTTAGTGAAGTACACTTGTTCAGACACATCTTTGGTCCACTATATATTTAGTATATGACTGCATAGTTTGAGGAAAATATAAACGTTTTTAAAATCACATATAACTGTCATTTAACTTCGATGATATCTATTACAATATACAACTTATAGTACAATTTACTGTAATTTCTGCCCTTAAACTTGCAATGCATTATTTGAACTTTCAATGCATTATTTCTGTTAGGGTCCCTGAGTTTGAGAGGCAAAAATTTAGACAGAAATATACTGGTAGCAAGACTTCTCCAAATTCTGCAGACACAGG